TCTCCTCTCCTCCCTTCCCCTCCCTTTCCTCCTCTCTTCCTCTTCTTTTCCCTGTATTCTACATATTATCATTGGGGTGCTCACTCATGCCACAGCATACATACAAAGGTTGTAAAACAACTTGTGGGAGTTGACTCTCTTCTTGGTGATGAATGTTAGGTCTCCAGGCTTGCAGAGCAGAACTTTACTGGCTAAGCCATTTCTCCAGCCCTTCTCCCTTCTATTTATTTTGTGGATTTACTTATTTTTATGTGTATGAGGGTTCTGCTTGCATGTGTATGTGTGTACCATATGCATATCTAATGTTCACATGATTCAGAAGAAGGCATCAGATCTCATAGTACTGGAGTTACAGATTGTTATGAGCCATGTGAGTGCTAGGAACTGGACCCAGGTCCCCAAAAGAGCAGGAAGTGCTCTAAATTGATAACCCATGTCTTCTGCCTGCTCCTCTTCTTTAATGTGGTGCTGGGATCAAATCTGGGGGCTCCCTTATTCTTTTTATGTTTTTGTTTGTTTGTTTTTTAAGACAGGGCAGATCTCTGTGTAGTTTTGGTGTCTGTCCTGAATCTCGCTCTGTAGCCCAGGCTGGCCTCAAACTCACAGAGATCTGCCTGGCTCTGCCTCCCGAGTGCTGGGGTTAAAGGCGTGCGCCACCACCGCCTGGCCAGGCACCCTTATTCATACCTGGTTATTTTAGGTTCGTTCAGTCGCAGACAGCTCCTCTCCTCTGCCAGGGCTTGGCAACTTGCCCAGAATCCTTAAGGACCATCCAGCGAAAATGTTGGGGTGCTATCTAGGTTCCCCTCTGTGAACCACTTTTATCCGATGTTCCTATGACAATGAGAATAACCACTCACGCTCTGAAATGCTGACTTATCGACCTGTTGGGCTCCTGTCCCCACCCTGCACTCCTTGCTTTTATGGGCCCTCCTTAACCGGGGAGATTCAGCTATCTAGTCCACTCCAGCATCCAGCCCTGATCCGTAACAGGCCAGCAAATAATAGCTGTCCAAGCCAGCTGATGGTTTCTCATAGACAGCCAGGCACCCCCACACCCACACTCCAGACTCGCTCACTCCAGAAACTCCCAGAACCCAGGCATCTTTAACACGCCTATCGTCTCCAGCAGCATCCCTGACTCAGTCCCCTGGATGCTTCTACTGCTGGGCTGTTTCCCTGAGACCCCTGGGAGCTTACGAGGAGAACCTGAACCCTAGTTCTGGCCCACAGGGCTAGAGAGACTCCGGCAGGTATCCAGGCCTAAAACTGCTATAAATTCCTTGTGACTGAATAGAGGGAAGAAAGGTAAGAGTCGTTCATTCCAGCCAGGAATGGTGTGAACAAATGACTGCTGGCTGGCATGAAAGTGCACATCCTAGCCGGGCGGTGGTGGCGCACGCCTTTAACCCCAGCACTCGGGAGGCAGAGCCAGCCTGGTCTACAGAGCGAGATCCAGGAAAGGTGCAAAGCTACACAGAGAAACCCTGTCTTGAAAAAATTAACAACAAACAAAAGAAAAGAAAAGAAAGGAAGGAAGGAAGGAAGGAAGGAAGGAAGGAAGGAAGGAAGGAAGGAAGGAAGGAAGGAAGGAAGGAGAGAAGAGCACAAACTATTTGAGGTCTGGGTAAAGGACCATCAGCAGAAGGGAGGATGGATGAAAGTGTTCAGATCTGGAAGAGAAGGGCCAGGTGGGGAGGTCTGAGCTCCCTACAGGATCAGCAAGGCTCAGAGTTTCTTAGACTTAATCCTGCTCCCCACAGATCCACTCAGCCCTCCCTTCTACCCAGCCCCCAGCCTGCCTGATCCTGCCGCCAAATGGACTTCTCTCTGGGCCTGCGCTTGGGGCCTCGGAACAAGAAGGCCACCTACCAGGAGCCCCCTCCGCCCTCTGGGCATGGGCCTCCAGCCACCTCTCCCTGCTTGTCCTGCCCTCCCAGCTGCCCCAGCTGCCCCCCTCCCAGCTGCCCCCCTCCCAGCTGCCCCTGCACGGCTTGTCCCTCGTATACAGGTCCCTGCCCTTCCTGTCCAGGTCTCCCTGGCCCACCCTGCACCTGCTCCTGCCCTCCTTGCCCTGCCTGCCCTCCCTCAACCTGTCCCCATACTTACTGCGTCCCCTGCTCAAGCCCGCCTGTGACCTACTGCCACCCCTCACCTTGCCCGCTTTACCCTTGTTCCAGTTCCCAGGCCTGTCCGAGGAGCTCCCACCCGGGCTGCGGTAGCGGCTGCAGCTGTGGCCACAGTACTGCTTGGAGGCCTCGGGGCTCCACAGGCGGCTGTAGTTGCTGCTTCAGGAGACAGAGGGCTTCTCGAGGGCTCTGTCTGATCATCTAGGCTGAGAGGATGTGTCCCATGGAAGATGGCTCAGCTGGTACTGGCGTTACTTCCTCAGACAGAAGCTCTGCGTAGAGTGAAGACGGAGTCAGGTGGACACCTCCTCCCCCAAGTCCTGAAGGGGACAGGGGACCACCCCTTGGATATTAGTTTCTGGGTGTGCTCCTGCTGGTTCCAGAACCTCTTCCTCGGCACCTTCTGGAAAGGGTCCTCAGAGCCTTCCTTGCAGCCCTTAAGGTAAGCATGTCCATGGCTCCTTCCGCCCCACTCAGCCTCCAGCGGAGACCTTTACATATCTCCTTTGCAGTTCACATGGATATGACAGACTCCTCTTCTAGAGGATGGGGAAAGATGCTTTGTCCAGAGGCCATTCCTGACTCTGGACCTCCACCCATACTCCTGATTATCTCAGAGTCTCTGGCCTCCTAACCTCTCTTCTTCTGCCCTGACAGAGGAGGCTGGCAGCCCTTGGACCAGAGGAGACGGCTGAGCAGAGGGCTCTTGGCTTCTCCCTCCCCTGGGATAGCTTTGACATCCTTCCTGGTCCTTTGTGTCCATCCAGGAACCTTCTGCCCGGATGTTTTGTGTTGGAAATTTCTAAGTGCTCACTTAGCCTCGTGACCTCAATCTTACCGCAGTAATCCTGTCTCTGTCTGAGACAGCCATGCTCATCTATCCTGGGGAAGAGGGGAGCCGGGGACCCTTCTCTCAGGCTCCCAGTGGTCCTACTCACACATAGAATTGTACTTGTATGTTCCCTGTTGGGCTAGAGATGAGAGATTCAAATGCCAGCAAGGGAGGTGCTTTCTGGATTTGGGTGGGTTGGGTTTTTTGTTGTTGTTTTGGTTTTGGTTTTCTTGAGCTAAGGACCTAACCCAGGACCTTGTGCTTGCTGGGCAAACACTCTACTACTAAGCTAAATCCCCAATCCTGAGACGGTTTTACATAGCCTTATGAACTCACTGTATCGCCAAGGTTAGCCTTAAGCATCTACCCTTCGTGCCTCTACTTCTCAAGGGCTGGGAGTACAAGCATGTGCCGCCCGCCACACCTAATTCTCCCTTGGACTTTCAATTTACCTCGGCTCTCAGTCCTCCTCTTCATTCTCTTTTTTCCTTTATATATATATATATATATATATATATATATATATATATATTTTTTTTTTTTTTTTTTGGTTTTTTTCGAGACAGGGTTTCTCTGTGTAGCTTTGCGCCTTTCCTGGAACTCACTTGGTAGCCCAGGCTGGCCTCAAACTCACAGAGATCCGCCTGCCTCTGCCTCCCAAGTGCTGGGATTAAAGGCGTGCGCCACCACCGCCCGGCCTTTCCTTATATTTTTATCTAATGCGTGTGGACACTGTCATGCCACAGGTGGAGGCCAGGGGACAACTTCTGGAAGTCAGTTCTCCCCTCCACCCCATAGGACACAGGATTAAGTTCAGGGTCTCAGGCTGGGCAGCAAGTAAGTGCCTTTACATGCAGAGCCGTTTTGCCAGCCCAATCTCTGGTCTCTGTTTTTGTCTCCTCTAGGTTTCTTTTTCTCTTTGTTTCGTTCATTCATCTTTCTTTCTTCTTTCCTTTTTCTTGTTTTTGACTCTAGCCCAAGCTGCCTCAGTCTCCCCAGTGCTGGGGTTATAGATGTGTACACTGTGCCCAGCTGATTCATAAAGGACTTCGAAATTCCGGAATCGTGATACCGTCACCCGAGTCCACAGATGAACCTTAGCGTCACTGAATGTGACAGAGCCAGATACTGTTTGTCTGCTGTCATGGTGCAGTCTGAAGCATTCAGTGTTGCCTAGAAAAGAAACACACAACCCGCTCAACGTGAAATAAATCAAACCCCCATTATTCATCACATGTGTGCATGGCCATGAGTGTGCACATCACGTGTGTGCAGGTGCTCATGCTCATGGAAACCAGAGACAAGGTTTCTCCGTGTAGCTCTGGCTGTCCTGGAACTCGTTCTGTAGACCAGGCTGGCCTTAAACTCACAGAGACCCACTTGTCTTTGACCCCCAAGTGCTGGGATTAAAGGTGTGCGCCAGCGCTGCCCAGCTGATTTTTTTTTTTTTTTTTTTTTTTTTTTTTCGCATTTTGTCGGTTGTACTGACCCTTTCTCTCCCCCACCCCACCCCTTTGGTTCATAGTTCATGTGTTTCCATTCATTTGGCTACTTTTTTTTTTTTTTTTTTTTTTTAATAAACCACAGTCTCTCCCTAGGTCCTGTCTCTGCATCCTCAGCTCTGAAATTACACTCTTGCCACCATGTCCACAGTTTTCACATGGGTCTGGAGGACTGAATTCATATCAAGTTTAAATGCCAAGCAACTGCTTTACCTACTGAACCAACTCCTCAGCCCCCTCTTAATGAGAAATGCAGGAGATGGAGAAACATATTAAACGACACAAGAAGGAAGTAACTAGACTCTGGTAAAATGTGGACGATTTTAAGAAAATCTGACCCAATTACCTAGATAAGTCAATAGTTGTGGGGAAATGAGAAGGGACTTAAAACAGAACTGTAGAGTTGAGGGCAGACTTCAGTGTTAGCGCCCAGTGACACACAAGGGTGGGAGGATATAGACGACCACACCGGAACATGGGGATCTCTTTTTGTTCAAGATTTGGGGGTGCCAACCATCAAAAGATATTTTAGACGTTGAGAACATTTAGATGTAGACTGGGTTGTAGTTTTTGTTTTTGAGACAGGGTCCAATGAATTACGCAGCCCTGGCTGGCCTGGAACTCACTATATAGATCAAGCTGGTCTTGAACACACGATAATCCCCCTGCCTCTGCCTCTCTGGTGCTGGATGAAATGTGTGTGTCACCATTCCCAGTTTGTGTTCTACTGCTTTTTCTAAAATTTACTTAACATTTACCGTGTGTGTGTGTGTGTGTGTGTGTGTGTGTGTGTGTGTGTGTACACAATGAATGTGGAGGCCAGAGGATAGTTTTCAAGTCTGTTCTGTTCTTTCCTTCCACCAAGTGGATCTTGGGGATCAAACTGAGGAGGTGGCAGTCAACCCTTTGCGCCATCCCACTGGTCCTGGACTGAGTTTTTTGTTTGTTTTCGTTTCGTTTGTTTGTTTTTAAATTATTTATTTATTATGTATACAGTGTTCTGTCTGCATGTATGCCTGCACACCAGCAGAGGGCACCAGATCTCATTACATTTGGTTGTGAGCCACCATGTGGGTGCTGGGAATTGAACTCAGGACCTCTGGAAGAACACTCAGTGCTCTTAACCTCTGAGCCATCTCTCCGGCCCTGTTTGTTTGTTTTGAGACAGGATTCCTCTGTGTACCAACCCTGGCTGTCCTGGCACTTACTCTGTAGACCAGGCTGGCCTTGAACTCAGAGATCCACCTGCCTCTGCCTCCCAAGAGCTGGGTTAAGGGCATGCGCCACCACTGCCCAGCTGAACTGAGTTTTTGTTGTTGTTGTTGTTGTTGTTTTGTTTTTCGAGACTGGGTTTCTCTGTGTAGTTTTGGCTCTCACTCTGTAGACCAGGCTGGCCTTGAACTCACAGAGATCCGCCTGGCTTTGCCTCCCACGTGCTGGGATTAAAGGCATGCGCCACCGCCACCACCCGGCTTGGACTGAGTTTTTATGATGCCAAGAAATCAGTGCTAATTCGTTAGATGTAAGCGTGGCCCTGAGGCTATCACCTAGCGTTGATACAGAAGTGTGGAATAAAACAACCTCCTTACTTTGAAATGTCTCAAAGGAGAAAACAGAAGAAGTAAGAGTCACAGACACTATAATATTGAATTAAATGTGTATGGGCTCACGGAATTACGTGTTACACATTTGAGTATGTTTGAACACTTTAATAATAAAAATTAGAAATGAAACTGGGCTGGTAAATTGGTTTCTAGCAACTCTCCGAGCGTTTCTCCCTGAAAGCCAGGATTTCCTCATGGCTTCTCACACAGATCCTAGCCCCGCCTGCTCTATTAGAAGGCTGGTAAACTGCACAGACAGGCCACTCTATCTCCTCTAGTCACCCGCTAGCAAACTTCCCAACAAGATCTTTTGCAGTTGTACCTCACAGTCCAAGGGGTCACAGCAACCTTAAGAGTATATTTTGAACAGATTCTACAATAGTCCAAAATAATGTAGGGGCTGGAGAGATGGCACAGTGGTTAAGAGTGCATATTGCTCTTGCAGAGGACCCACATGGGTTACCAGCATCCACATGGCAGTTCACAACCTTCTGTAACCTAGATTCCAGAGGTTCTGATGCCCTCTTCTGGCGCCTCAGGGAACTACATGCCTATGGTAGGCATCTAAACATACATATAGGCACACATAAAATCAAAATAAACAAATAAAAAAATTATTCTGTTTTGTTTTGAGACAGGGTTTCCCTGTGTAACCCTGGCTGTCCTGGAACTCAATATGTGGATCATGCTCACAGAGATCCTCACCTCCAGAGTGCTGGGACTAAAGGTGTGCACCACCATTGCCCAGCATAATAAATCTTAAAACAAAACAAAACTAGGTTATGGTGTAGCTTTTAATCCCAGCACTCAGGAGGCAGATGCAGGCAGATATTTGTGAGTCTACATAATGAATTCCAGGACAGTCAGGGATACAATAAGACTCTGTCACACTAATGAACAGATTACTGGCTGGCAAGATAGCTCAGGAGGCAAAGCTTCTTGCCATCAAGCCTGATGACCTGAGTTCCATCCCTGGAACACACATGGTTGAAGGACAAAACTGACTCATTGGAAATTGTCCTCTGACCTCCAAAAAGAAATTAAATTCACCAGGCCTGGTGGCACACACCTTTGATCTCAGAACTAGATAGGCAGAGGCAGGCAGAGCTCTGTGAATTTGAGGCCAATCTGATCTGCATAGTAAGTTCCAGGCAG